TAATAGATTAAATTTACTGCTATGAGACCCTCTCTCTAATTATAGATGTTTTGGCCAATAATGTAAGCAGTCTTCGATAATTCGATCAAAAGCTATTTTATCAGCTTGAAGCCCCATGCCCAGCTATCCGAGGTACCAGAGGAGCAACACAACCGAATCATCAGGCTTTAGCTTCCAGAATCATAGACCAACCTTCGCCTACAGGCAACAGTTAAGATCAACTCGAGGGATCATTGAAACGATATGGAATGTTAGTATAAACACGGTTATTATTGGTAAAACCAAACGAAAAGATGTCTTGATACTGGACTACGTACCTATTTCGGGAAAACATCAGGAATCCCAGGCACTGAGTGGCTTTTATTGTGCTACTTGAGTCATAGACTATCTAGCATATCGGGATTCTCTCTAGCCAAAGCTACAATTTTTACGGTGTTCCTATCTTCTCTTGTTACTCGAAAGATTACTGATATATTGCCCGTGATGAATATCCATTCAGCTTAGTATTTACTCGTGGAATTCAGCCACGTTGTCCACCCAACCTTCTACCCAAAAAAACGGTAGCAATGGAAACTGCGTGAGCGGGAAAAGGTCTCAAGGAACCTATAGCCCCAGCCAGGCGAGGCCAAGACACTGGGACCACATGAGGTGCGCATATCCATCTACATCTCCCTTGTTTTTAGAATTAGATGACAACTTCATGTAATTCACCATCGCCATATCGGATGCTTGATAGGCTCCAGAAATTCATCGGATAACTTCTTCTGTGATCAAGGGTTAGTGATAAGTGGTGCTTCGTCCTGACTATCTAATCTTGAGAGCGTCTGGAAATCTTCGTCGCAGTGAGGTGAAAGGGGTAACTCAATCTCGGCTCTACAGACTATACAGTGAGAGCTGTAAGTTCATAGGGGACGCCACTAACAGGTATTCAATTTTAGTCTCTCTCTGCTTGTATTTTTTTAGCCATTATCTACCAGAATATGCGACCGGTTATGTAGATGAAGAAAGAAACAGAAATGGGAGTTTTATGAAACCATACAATTATTTATCTATTTAAATATAGTAATACTTTTTAGTATTTATCGTGCCCTCTCTGTAATTATATTGAACATTAAGATCCCCTCTAGCTATATGTTTCGTGTAATAGGTCCTCCCTTTGCCTCTTTCATAGCTTTCATCTAATGTTACTAATCCTCAGAAGCATTAGTTCCGCCAAAATTAGGAGAGCCTTTTGGACATTGTTATCTCCCCTCTCCAGCCAACGAAAAGAGGATCAATTACGGATATAAGGTGGCTGTGAAATCATGCAAAAACCACCGAGTGCGGAACTTCCATATGCACCAACATTGGGACCAAATTTTAAGATATGGCTATCCGTCTGTAAGTTCATAGAAGGTAGCTAGTTTGGCTCTGTAGACTTGTATGTATACAAGAGAGACTCTCACAATCTGCCTAGGCCTCTTTGGATGCTATCCATCGCTCGCTCCTCGCAACAAATATGAGGTTGTGTAGAAATTTTGGGTAATAATTTAGAGATTTTAAGCTATAAATTTACCCAGCCCAAGTTCTTTGTGTCATCGTGGTTGAGGAATACCACGGACTTATTGGTAATGAAGGCCTAGCTGTTGGTTAAAAAGATCCCCAGCCCTGCATATTTACCTTTGGTGCATAGGATACCAAGAGCCTTTTGAACCAGAGACTCTCATGCCGCACTTTGCTCAAAGTCATTTGGGGACAGGTAATTCTCACATCTTTTGAGGGTTCGGGTCGCTCTGAAAAGTTCTAGACACTAGAATCATCGGAACTTTTGCTCCGCTCGGCCCTAATCTAATGCATATTTAGTATGGCCCCACATTTGATCCCGACGCCACACCTACGCGATGTCTCGCCAAGCCAGAGTGCAGCACATCGGGAATCCGAATACCATTACTTGGTCGTAAATTTAATTTCCCCTTGCAGACTTCGAGCATCTTATCTCACCTCAGCTTGTGAGACCATGACGTTTCACTACTTCGGTATCCTGGCGGTCTACGACTGATACCGGCTTCTCGTCCTCTACTGCAATGCCGGTACCGGTGTGGCTGTTTGGGGCCTCCAACAACGACCGGAGTATGACGCTTACCGCTGTGCATGTAGATCGTGTACAACGATGTCGAGTTACCGAGTTCGGCTTACTAAGTCTCTCCATGGATCCGTGAAAGAGCTGTCTCGCATAGTTTTCAATGATTTATCGCTCGATCGGGCTGGATTCAAGCCGTGTTATACGGCTCTCTATTACCTGGGTTTCGTGGGCCTTAGCATAAGGCCGAGTGGAGTCTAATTGACTGGTACCCCCTGGCCCTTAATAATCAAGAGCCTGACATACTTTGCACGTTGATTAGAACAAATTACACCTCCACTGTTCCAGTAAAAATAAAATCTAGCTTATGATGAGCACGTTGGATCTTTCCTCACTCTTCTCATCAAGCTGAAGCCCCCGGGTGCCCAAGCCCTTGGTATCTTCTCACGTCCTTTCAGTCACAGCTCGATTTTGATAGGCCACCGCTTTAGTGGAGAATGAGACATTTTCTCGCGTCATGCATGATAATTATGGCTTGGAAATTTGGGTTGCAGGTCTGGTATTTCCGGGACAGCTCCGTTTTCGATAGTCTCAAGTCTAGGGGTTGTTGTAATTAAATCCATAGATAGATCTAAGTCTATTTGTGAATCATATATTAGAGATCAAATATCTGTTGACTGAGTTTTTGGCTAAATATTGAGTGCGATATCCTGAGGCCGAAAAAAACATCAAATTTAATAGGTTCCGTCCTTATTCCCGACTGAATCCCGGCTCTGCAGGAACATTTTATCACAAGTTTCGTTGGAGGCACTGCTGTTAAATGATCGACCTTTATCTTGTCATATAAAAATCAGTCGCCGTTCGATATTTTTACCTTGTGGCATAGAGTATTGCGAGAGAAGAGTAGGCGCGCGAAATGCTGCTTGAAGTCTTGGGAATACCGAAACTTAAATCTTCCCTTGACAGGATTGTCTCCTTCTAGTCCCGCGCACTTTCAGAGGCTTCCCTTATTAGATCTGAACGCCGCGCTTCGAGTCCTCCGGCGAGGATCCTTGGGATTAGGAGGGTATTTTCAATTGACAATGAAGGCTAAAAATCGGTTCGATGGTTAGGTACCAAGCCATATTCATAGTTGGGAGATGACTATGGCTGGAGTCAGGCGCTACAGTATCTCCTTACTCACGACACGATGTTAACAATTAGAGATTCGCAGCCGGGGTTAGATTTCAAGCTACTTACCAGTAAGGCGCAGAAGATATCATACATAAATATATTGTAAAAACAAGACGAATGGCAGGCGAAATTAGACCTCGACCTACACATATTGTGCGCAGGACTGTGAGATGAAAAACTGTCATTGCAGCATGAGCTGTCGTTTTCCTCGTCACTGGCGGTACTTATGACCTCATTGCACACGGCGGCCCATTCAAAAGTAAAGGAAAAAAAGAGCCCAGGCGATCGGATTATGATACGTAGAGGACGGTGAGGAAATATACCAATAATATTTCGCCATGTTACTAATGAGCCTTCGAGACTGATTTTTTTGTCACCTCCGTTTGTGGCTGATGAGTATCAGCACACAATTCGACAGTGCACAGCCCTTTATGTCGGGCATGCTTCTTTACACCCAGCCAGGCTGAAATGGTCTCAGCGGCCTACTATAACCTAGCTAATTATAGGATATTCAGTATCAGGTGTGTCCGATATTGTTTATTCGTTCCACGAGTAAACAAGCGAAACAAAATATGACGGCGTAGGGGGAGTCCGGGAACCAGAGTGGGCAGGAGGAACACGGGCCGTCTAGTAGACAGGAAATGCTAGTATGGTCCGAATATAATCGGGCCTCTCGATAGGAGTGGTTACAATGTTGGGATCCCGGTTACTGATCAATGCGAATGGCGCAGGAATTCATTATCGCATGTCGTCCGTGATACTGGCTAAGGAAGCTTTCTGAACATCTGCCCTGCTTCGCATTAGCGACGCCTTTGGCCAGTGGAAGGAATACGGGGGGGAGGATGGTGAAGACCGTTGCAAGATATGCAGACACTAGCTCGAAACTTACTCCTCTCAGCTTTGACCTTGGAAAGTGGACCAGAACTGGACAGGGACTAGGTAGTGGGCTAACCCGGAGTTTTCGTTTACTATCGTTTGGAGGGGCGTCGTCGTTGTGTAGACCAAATGTATGGGTCCTGCGTGTTGAACTGGTAAGTAGATAGGCTAGGCAAGGCGATAGCAGGGTAGGGCTAGACAGGACTAGCTAGGGCTATCTCTCACGGACCATCGGTCGGTAATTGATTTTCGGGAATTCATGCAACGTTTAAGAGAAATCTGATTTGAAGGGTCCTATGTTGTGCAGCGGGACTCAGTCCATGAGTTCGCCCTCGACTGTAATGCTATGGCCTATGTTTGAATGTGAACCGGATGAAACTTTTCCCCTTTGCCGGAACTGCCCAAGTCCCAACCACGTAAGGAGTCCAATACTATTCTTCGGCCCCCACGACACTGACTCTGTTCAAACCCCTCTCCCCCCTCCTTCGCCCCAAGACTCAGGAATTCCAAGTCTCGAATCTGGATGACTGAAGCTCACCAACGTTCTTCTAGCCTTCTCAACTGCCCTTTGACTCCCCCTTCCCTTGTCTTCCCTGCTCTAATCGACACGCGAACATCTCCCGTTTTCTAATCCGTTTCTTTTGCCATTGATAATGGACATTCCCACTCACGACTTCCGCTACAATATTTCCACTTCCGCTAGGTCAAACACCTCGCTCTAATTTTTCTATTTTTCTGTTTATTTCGACTTCTCGAAGTTCTCATCCGGGTTCTGCTTCTACGCCTTCTACTTTAGGCCTCTTCGCCATTTCTTCTCCCCTCCCTCTTTCCCATAGGGGGATCCGAACTCTCTACCACCCCAACTATCAACACTTTCAATTCTATCAGAATCATGCCGTCTGTAGTGCCCACCGCCTTCTCCCAAATCTCTATTCGATACACCGGTACCAATCATGAATCGGGCTCGCCGGTGACTCATTTGATTTTACTCATCTTCGAGGCGGTAATGGAAGTAGTTTTTGTCTCTCTACCCGGATATATTCTAGCACGTCAGGGCTTATTCAATGCGGAAAATCAAAAGTTTCTGGCCAATCTAAATGTTGCACTTTTTACACCTTGTCTTAGTGAGAAGCAGTTCTGTGATTATCCTGTTGATTAAAAAAAGCTAACTCTTCTCAAGTTTTTACGAAACTCGCCTCGCAGCTAACTGCAAACAAGCTTCTAGATCTGGCCGTTATTCCGGTCATCTTCATAATCCAGACAGCTTTCGCTTATATGGGCTCAGTTGCAGTATCAAAATTGATGAGGCTGGAAAAGAGACCAACTAATTTCGTCACAGCCATGGGTGTATGTATCTAGACGCTGTCGTGATCTAAGCTGATGGTATTTCTTCTAGATTTTTGGAAACTCAAATTCACTCCCGATCTCTCTCGTTGTATCGTTGTCACAGACGTTAAAGGGCCTACATTGGGACAAAGTTCCAGATGATACCGATGAACAGGTCGCAGCTCGTGGTATACTATATCTCCTGATTTTTCAACAGCTGGGTCAACTACTACGTTGGAGTTGGGGATACCATGTCCTCCTTGCACCACCGGAAAAATTTGAAGAGCCACACGTTGACGTGGAGCAAGGAGATTACAGAGATAGCCCCGATCTAATTCCGACGCTACATGAAAACTCCGATATGACTCGGCATAACTCATCATCTGCATCGTTTCGATCGGGAGATAGAACTCCCGTCACTAGAGTCATCTGCTCCGGCCCAAATAGTAGTGAAGAGGATCCAATTAAACATCCAAAACCTTATCCTGTGCCTATGGAGGGGAAACCAATGTTCAACAATTACAACAATGGAGACATTACATCATTTCCCAGCATTCGCACACCATCTCCTCGAGAAGACCGGCCCATCGTCTCGGGTATCAAAAAGATTGTTCCATGGACTAAGCTCTACATTCATCGTTTTATGGGTGGTTTCAAGCACAAGATGAGTTCTATTTCGACAGCTATTGTTGGCTACCTTCCAAAGCCTGTGCACAATTTTCTCGTAAAGGCTGGCAATGTGATCAGCCGCTTTTGTGCTGGTACCTGGGATTTTATGAACCCACCTCTCTGGGCCATGCTAGTCGCCATCATCGTTGCCTCAGTACCGTTTCTCCAAAATTTATTCTTTGCCAAGGGCTCTTTTATTGCGAACTCCTTGACGCGAGCTGTCGCCCAGTCTGGTGGCGTGGCAGTTCCCTTAATTCTCGTCGTACTCGGCGCTAATTTAGCGCGCAACACCCTTCCGGCAAGTTCTCGTGACTCCAACAGTGAGGAAAATCAGATCTCTAAGCGATTACTTATTGCTTCTCTGATTTCGCGTATGGTGCTACCCACGCTAATAATGGCGCCTCTCTTGGCCGTGATGGCCAAATTCATTCCCATCAGCATTGTGGCAGATCCAATTTTTTTGATTGTTTGCTTTTTACTCACAGGTGCGCCTAGTGCGTTGCAGCTGGCTCAGATTTGTCAGATTAATGGTGTCTACGAGGGGGTAATGAGTAAATTGCTTTTTCAGAGCTATGTCATCTGGTACGTGGCTCTTCTTCAAAACCTACCTTAACGCCATGTCTCAGCTTGATTCACCCTATGCTAACAAATGTTTCAGGATTCTGCCATCTACGCTAATACTCGTGATGATCGCCTTGGAAGTAGTGAAGTGGGCTGGTATCTCCACTTTAAATTAATGAGTCAGCTCGCATTCTGCATAATCGATGACCGGCTCTCGACGCCCGGAATAAGAGATGATTGAACGTGTAAGTCAAAATAATATAGATGGGTAATGGAGCATGGGTGCATTGTTTGAGGATCACAGAAATACATTTCACGTCGCCAGCAGTTTTTTGATACAGACAAATGATACCCAAAGATCTCATGAGAAAGTAGTATGCATGGGAAATGGGAAGAGACGAATTTAACTTATTTTAGAGCCAGGTTTTTAATGCCTGGATGACGTCTATTAGCATTGCATAAGCACTTTTTTGGGAGGCCAATTCAGCTGTGTATAGACCTTTTTTACATACATTCTACAGAGCTTCACTACTTAGCGAAGCCTAAAAAGCAACTTGAATTTTAATACTATAAATTTTATCCATTCTCGGTTGCCGTGCATTGCTGATAATAATGGCTTTTTCTCAAGTAAAAACTACGTTGAGGTTGTGTAATTTCACTGCTTAGAGACCTGGGATTCTATCATCTCAGGTGGTATCTACGACTTGTCACCTCTACTGTTCCCATCTAAGGTGACATGCCTCACAAGTCCTCATTTGATAATATACCCAGAGGCATCTGCAGCCCTTTATTATATCCCATATCATCTCCAACAGGAACAAGGTCATTTGTGGTATTTAGTCGTCGACAAGATCTACTAAAAAAAAGCAAGTGCGGGCCGACTTAACTTGCACGGCTCTAGTTACGGTTAGAGTGACGAATCACTTTGCACTCTCGATGAGAAAGGCAGTAAAGTATATCATATTCCATTGATGCAGATAACTAGTGTCTACCAAACTATATTACTTGGATATGCAAACTTCAAAGGCTACATATTTTCTTGAAGCTACTGCATAAGTCGGGCTTGTTTGAGCTGTGCTAGTCTTGTAGGAATCGATTTAGTTCCTTTTTCTTCTTGCTGGTATTTCTAACCATAGTTCATGCTTCAGGTAAGCTTTCAGTGTTGCGTATGATATTGCCTCTGAAAATCAGTCTTGTATTTTCACATATTCAGTGGGAAAGGGCATGAGACCTGATACTGAGCGGCGTATATACCCGACGGTGAAAGTTTCTAACTGGCCAAGGGCTTGGATTCCTGGCGTTACATAACAAGACTTACAGTGCTCTTACTTCCGGTAGGCCAGTCAACATATAAATATTTCTACACTGTTGCTTCACTTGGGAATATTTGAAGCATTTTTTCGCTAGACATGCAGCACCACTACTCGCCTCTCAGCACGTTGGGTAAGGCTTGGGCACGGTATCGCTGTAGGAGTATTCGAGACAGGCAACTTGGATACATCCCTGCCAGTACAGGGGTCTAGCCCACTATTCGAACCGCTCTTTCTCCACTATCTATCACTCTAGCTGTCGCCATCAACTTTCTCCAGGCGCTTCGCGACTCCAGATTTTGCCTGGAATCCGGCGTTTATGGATTCCATTGACAATTTCAGACTAGACCAGAATAAGAATCTCGGGACATGCTTGTCTTTTCAGCAGTTGTATGCTTAGGCTAGCGAAAATGCTCGCTGTGTTTCCACTGATTCAAACAAACATGGGGCCCTCTCCCTCCGAGACTCTAGACGCGCGTTGCTTCCTATGGGGAAATCTAGTCATGAAACTCACACCGTCGACTCCACCTGACCATTTAATACTACAGCCCTGGCTCGGCAGCGGAAAGAAGGAATTGCTGGCCACTCCAATTAGTAGTTCAATGGCAACAATAAATGAGGAACACGATAAGCTTGGAAACTCCACTTTATTCGAAGACGACTACTCGGCGTTGAATGTTGGTCCAAGCTACTCCTGAGATGTGCGAGAGTCGGCAGTATTTTTCAATGACTCGGAAACCTTGCACTTGGGAATCTGCACGAAAGTTTCTGGTGCAGTCTAAGGGTGGCTCGGCGTACGAACAGCCCAACGTCACAAAGACCCGACTTCGAGAGCTTGAGCTGGAAATTTGTATTTATGAAAGTACTTTAACTTATTATATGGAGTTTCCACTACAGAAGCCAAAAAGTAAGCTTCTGATTTAGGAACCTAGCTCTTTGGAATAGGGTTATACTGGTTGCTGCTATTTCCGAAACCCGGGCCATGACCAGGCAGTCATGATATCGAAGAGGTGCTTGACTCATTGTGAGAGAAAGACTTGGTCGAGTGGGGGAATAGGTTTGTCGTCGGCTGGCTTGTAGGCATGTAATCGAGAGGAGGATCCGCCATAGTCGTTTGACCCTATTTTTACGGGTCTAGACCGGGCGGGAGGAACTAAGCCTGTCGTAATGAGGCTGGCGCCATCCTTCTCTTCTCCTTCACCTAAAAGTGACAGATCATTTCTTGACTTTTCCGGCCCGTCGCCCGCGACCTGGCCTCAAGAGACCGCGATTTCTGGGGGTTAACCAGGGGGCCTTGTCACTCGTCGGCGGCACCTTGGATGGTGCGGGTCGGCCCGCGATGTCGCTCTTCGCGGTCCGAGGACGGCTGTGCTGGGGCGAGGAAAACTGATCAGTGATAATAAGGTACCGGTGATGGCTACAATTACTAGCGGAGCCCTTCTCAATAAGAGAGCGGGTAAAGAGCTATCCCATATCAGATGAGACAGGCTTATTGCCAATCAAACTTCGAATTCTCCCAAGAAAACAATACCTAGGAAACTTTCGAGATAATATTCGTAGCGCTTGTACATCGCTACTACCGGGTAAAGGGGTGCTTGGCCTGAAACAGTTGAGGAGTCTTTTCATGGGTATCGCCTCAATTAGTAGGAAAAAGCTTAACACCCTGTGTGTCATAGCTAGACAGCTGCGCACACATTCCATGAGTCAAAGAATAGTGATTCCTCATCACTTAACTCTCCTTGGGGTGGCTCGTGCATCCTGCCTCGTTACGTTTTCACGGTGCCAATGCGGTCGTCTGTTAACACGCAGTCACAGAGAAGTTTTCCCAATAAGTATCTAACTGACTGGCCTAGTTTGCTGTCCTTTACATAACAGTTGTCATGTTATCCACGTCTATGAACCCACTTTAGTGGCATCATAGTTTCAATTGAAACAGCAAGGCGTGCATTTAGGTATTGCATGTATATTTTGTTTATTGTAATTCTTGACTCAAAGCCTTTATAACACATCGGGCCCCCCTCTGACCCACGCGACACCTTGTACAGTGCTCCTATCCTCTTATGTTACTTGAAAGACCACTGATATATTGCCTGTGACGAATAGCCGTTCAGCTCAGTACTCGCCCGTGGAACTCAGCCGCTTTGTCCACCGAACCTTCTACTCCAGATAAATAGTAGCAATGGAAGCTGCGTGCGCGGGAAAAAGCCTCAAAAAAACCTGCAGCCCTAGCCAGCCGGAGCCTAGACATCTGGTCCACATGCGGTGCGCAACTCCATTTCTACTACCCTTCTATGCAACATTAGAGGCCAGCTAGAAGGCAAGACTGATCACCTGTACGCGGTGTCCTCTACGAACCTGGGAGTTAAATATTCTCCTAGAGCTAGGTTTAATCAAATTTCGCAATATCAAAGAGGTTGGCTCCCGGTAATAATTGAAAATACTCTACCACGTCAATTTTTCACTCCCAAAGAGTCCGACTTACAACTAAGCCTCATCAAGTCTACAAGTACGACCTAGTACATTCTTACTCCAATGACCACACCTCTTGTCGACTTTATCTGGCCGCAGCTGGTCACCAAATACACGCTCATGCCGATATTTACACCCGACGGAGGAAGCAAAGCGTGGCACATAAAGCTGGGAGACAGTTCTTTGGGATGGACGTGAGAGGATTCAGGACAAGTTTACAAGATGATGCGAAGGATGGGTACAGTCTCGACGGGCGTGGAATTTTGAGTTTTGGAGAGGAGTTTTAACTAATTGAGCTTTGTGCGTGCCAAGTCTTCGGCTGCGAGACTGCAGGCGACACTATAAAAACTGCCATGGTTGGATGGTGCGGTGGTACATCGTCATGGCCGGTCTGCCAAGTAGAGTCTGGATAGCCTGGACACATATCCCACTTGAGACAGTAGATCGCTGGTTCAAATCCGTCAAAACACAACTACTCTTCTCGCGGCGCTGGTATACATGGATGACGAAGGCATTTTTCGATAACCAAAGGTTTTTAAACTCCCTTTGGTGGGTACTTATGGAGGAGGGTCGACTGTTTGTGCAAGCAAGCATACCTCATAGTGGTATTTGCGAATGAAATCCAGAGTATGAGTGTCTCTAACGTCAAAAGAATCATCCCACATGTGTACATAGCACCGGTCATGTGTCATAGCTCTATAGCTGAATATACATTAAATGATTTAAAAAAAATAGGACTGGGAGTTGTATAGACATTGAAGATGGTCTGTACGTACATACAAATAAGAAAGGCGGTCTTTCCGGTTGAGCCTAGGTAGAGAACTTTAGTGATTTAGTTATGATAAGATATTGAGCCAATAACGTTTACAGATGTAGATCAAAACCTAACACTTTTAACTATATATAAGTTCAGTAAAGCTAAAAACGTCACTGATCCTAACCTTTTATCTCTGATCATGAAATCCCCAATATCTTACAATTCAAACAGTATTGACTTGACGGTCAACGTTCACTTCTACCATTCTAGATACCCCTAAGAATTTTAATAGAGGGGTACCTGGAACTGAACTGACTACAAGATTAATCGAGAGCCCTAGCCAGAATAGAATTATCCACCAATCCAGAATACTGGGACATGCTTGAGAAAATACGAACAAGCCGAATGCTGGATTTTTTTCGGTACGAATAGGTTTCAAACAGACTCAATACTTGAGTCTGTTTGAATCAAAAGTATAGAATCCTGTCTGAACTCATGGGCATGATTCGGGCAAGAGGCGTGCAACCACATCGGTAGATAGAAAGAAATGCAAATAGCTGTATTATCAACAATAGTTTGTAAAGGTAGTAGGCAATTGTCTGGTAAAATGACGTGGTTACATTCGGCTGTACGTATTGGAACTATCATACTCTGGATATGCAAGAATAAGCAGCTGGAAAGATGCACAAGTCGTAAGTTTGTAGATTGGGCGGTTTTTAAATAACTTAACATGTTTGCAGCCATGGAGCTATGAAAAATGATCAGTATCCTGTATTCATACAATATGATTTTCTTCACTTCAGAGACACTCATACCCTGTATTTTACTTGCAAATATCACGAGGCACGAACCTGAGTATCCACCGGCGGAAAATCCAAAACTTTTGGCCATCCAAGCATGCCTCCGTCATCCATATACCCTAGCACCGCGAGAAATGCGCTTGAGCCTTGATGCATCCGAAGTTGCAATCTCATATCTCAAATGGGATATGCGTCCAAGCTATCTGTGACGGAAACCGAGTTGGTGATGAGTAAATCGATTTACTAGACTATATGAAGAGAAAAGAAATCTCTAGCTACTACTAAGAGGTCCTCATAATGTTTGATCCACTTCGTGAATCTGCTGACTGATAACTTTCTCTTAGGCCTAGTACATGCTACCGAGCCAAGTATTATCAGGAGCCACGACGCTATGATGTTGCTTCGATCTCCTGGCTAGTTGTGCCATTTCATCTATATCTGTCCATCCTTCCTCTTTCAGTCTTATCGTCACTATTCCCAATTAAACGCTTAGGTTTCCTCCTAGGCTTAAACAACGGTCAAACCATAACACTATCTAGAATCTACTTTGGGAACTAGCCCAGATGATTGGCAATGCTCCATCCAACCATGGCGATGTTGCTAATGACACTTAGACTCTCACTAACAGTCGCAGGGCGTAGAATTTTCTTCATTATTATAACTCTGTCAGGCAATGAGTAGGCTAGATTCGACAAGTCTTATCTGTTGGAACAATAGTCTTCAACTTTTGTTATATTTCCTGGGAATTTTTATATGACACCAAAAGAGTTGGAACAGATAATTGAATGAAATCACATTACAATTATTATTGTATCGCTATTTTGAATATGTTCTATTGCTCTTTCGTTTACGCACGTATGTCGTGTATTGTACGGAAACTGTCGTTGAGAATTATTTGGTGTTTGGTTGTTATATGTTTAGTAGTTACTTTTTTTAGAAAAAGCTTTCGCTTAGGGGCATAAATGAATGTTTATTCGTGACTGGCACAAGACCTGAATTCAAAGAGCAAGATACCGAGAAGACTAGCTTCCCCAATGACTATATACGATGATAGCTCGGTTTGACATTTGGATCACTCGAGACCTTGGTGCTGGGGACTTTTACCCTTCCCTTAACCGTTAATATACACCAAAGGGAAACATTAAAAACCTTTGGCTACCCTAACATGCCTTTGCCATCTTGTATATAGCCACCGCGCGAGATATGGCCCCATAGTCCTCCCTTTCTCGAGTGAGGTAGGTGTCCAAGCTACCCAGACTTTAATTCGGGGAGATGACGACCAGGAGGTGGACCAAAACACCTTCCATCGTTGCCTTTTTTAGAGTGTCGGTAGCACTATCCTAAATCGTCGCCTCGGCGCCCATAGACAACCTTAAGTCGAAAATACTCGAAAAATGAGCGTCCCAGCATGCCCATTTGTGACCTCTTCACTCGTTCGTCCCACGTCCCAGCTGCCTGTCCTCCCTCAAGATGTGAAGTCCTCTTAGAGCAACGGTCTCCAATAGACCAAGACTCGAGCTTTGTAGATTATGACTTAATCTCCTCCTCGCAGGTATATATAGCATCGTAATTTTGTAGTGATAGATGGCTGGTTTTTGATGAGGAAAACGCCTGATTGCAATTGGAGTAACGCCATTATCGGTATTTGAGGCGAGGTGGTGTAGTAAGATTGAGGAAGGGGTCTCGCGTGAGAACGGTGGGTCTAACATTTGTCAAGAAGTCGTCAATTTCAGATATGCTTCAGGTTCCTTTCACCTTCGAGGCGGATGCGATTCCTTTTGGCTAATCTAGATATGCAGAGCATACTAAGCGATTACACTAGCACCAATGGAAGGTGAAGAATTCGTCTTTGCCGGCTCGCTTAGGGGCATGATGACAAGGAGTGTCAAGCTTCTGGCTGGAGATACTTCGTTTTTTGATATGGATATTTGTTTAATGGTGAGGTGTTTGGAAATAGGCACCAAATGGTTTTTTCTAAAGATACATCATCTTCATTGTAAGAGCTAGAGATCTGATCAATATACCAGTCAGTGTTTCTATTCAGCTGGTTGGATGATCCTGATAGGCCAATTAGCTTCAACAGTATGTTTGAGCGCAGGTCGGAACAGGTATTTATCAAATGTTATCTATAGTTATTAAGGAGAATAGGAAGTTGTCGGATGCTCGTCACACTCAGGAGGCAGTGGTCTGGAATCCGTATATAAATTAATAGCTGCGTGCACACGTTAGCGACCGTGCGACGTACCTGTAAATTTAGCTCAACATATAACCTGGTATCTCCTTTCGAAGTCCTCACTTTACGCTTTTTAATCAATCCTCAGTGACTGACGTGGTAGTTTCATTTTTAAAATATCTTTGAACTCCTCTGATTCCTTTCCCTCACAAAAGAATCAGTAATATCGACGTCCTATCTTTTCATTATGCAGAGAGGCTCACAAACTTTCGGGTGAAAAGGTAACAGGTCATCAACCTAAGTACTTAAAAAATCATCCTAGCCAAAGGCTTCAAGTAGAGACCATGGCAGCAAGTGGTGTTATGTGGAGGCATATCAATGCTGATCTTTAAGTACAAATCCCAGAGCCAGGTCGCCCGGTGGCACCTTTACCAGCCGAAGCTAGCTCAGTACCGGGATACACGACTTTTGCAGCTATTTTTTCAGATGAAAGAGATATTTCCCAGTTATTCTATAGCGAAGATAAAGTGAGCCTGTCATTTGCAAGACAGGACATGGAAACACTTTTTGACTTCAGTAAGCAAGAACATTGTCTACATCGAAACAAGTAACTCCAAGACATGCATCAAGCAATCGCCTCGTAATTCTAAACGGTAGGATTGGTCGGTTCCAATCTATCCATTTTTGGAAATTTTTTCCCCAAAAATCGGCATTTGAAACCTCGAGACAATGTTCATCCTGAGCATATTCGAACCTGTTTGTAGGACAGATGGGGAGTTTGCTCCCTGCCCAAGATAGTTACACCTCTCCCTTTCTCTCTTTCATCCCAAAAGTTTGCGCCACCATACATGTGCATCATGGTTTTCATTATTCTATGGGTATTTGGATTGTTGTAGACCTTTTTTACAGGCCAGCTAGGGCTAGTGACTGAGCTGACAAGAATTTTAGCCTTGGATTTAATTCACATCGGACGGTCCGCCAGAACTCCTACACTGAGATAATGAGATCAAAAGGCTCGGTCCAGACTATCCACAAGAGAAAAAGAGAGCGTGTAAGGCAGGCTGGTGCGAGGAAATATTGGGATTTTTGGCGTTTTCTTTCACACCATTTATCGCTAGGTGTAAAAGAACATACCTGAAATTTGATCTACGTTAAGCTGTCTGGATATTTCTATCATCAATGAATGTCTTTTATCTTCAGACCATAATTTATGAATGTCAATCTAGAAATAACGCTCATCTCGATAGCGATTTTGCTAGACAAGAACGTCTGAAACCAACCATCATGAGGACCTTCATACTAAAACTTTATGGGATTATTGAGGCGCTAGGGAACAGTCTACGAGGCCATGACCGGTTGCAGGATGGTACAAGGTCAATGGCGGGAACAGGAGCAGGGGATATAGGTGGTGAGAGGCGCAACGCGTGCGAGTATTTGTTGTGTTCTAGAGAGAAGTGTGTATTTGGATGGCCGAATGCATTGGACCAGTGCACTTAATCCCCTCTACCTCAAAGAGTCTTATGCCTAGTACAGATGTAAAGCCTCGCCCAGAACTTTACATGTAAATCGGTCCAGACTTATCTACCTTGCGAGGTCCGGCAACTACAGGTTTTCCCTCGATCAATTGATTCATTGAGCCTGGGCTGGTTTCTCATTTTTTTTCTCAAGTACTTTTTGAGCATTTTCATTACACTTTGCACGCTGCCTCTCAAACCCGATTTCCCCTGCTTCCCTCCAATGTGCATCTACCCAGCGTCGGATCTTCTCTATATCTTGAAAGCCTTTGGCATCTTTTTGCACATCCAGGGGAAGATTGCCGTCGACCCAAGGCAATCCATCAATAATTACCTCTTTTAAGACTCTGATACTCGACGCTCTTAACGCGGGATTGACACCATCTATGGGCACATTGCTTTTCAGGCCTTCTTTCAAAATCTCTTCGCGGTGCCTTTCTAGAATCCACACAAGTTCCTTCTCCTCAAATTCCTCTTTCACACCGAATGTCTCGAATGCCTCCTGTTTAACCTGCTCTCGGGTTAATGGAGGGTCGGAGGGCGGATATAAGCCCCGAGAGAGGCACTGAGGAATAAATTCGTCGATCCAGGCTGTAAAGACGGGACGTTTTGCGTATCGGACACGCTCACTGCGTTTCAATTTTTGTAAATTGCTTGTAATACAGTCTGAATTAGAGCTCAGCACTGTTTCCCCCAGTTTATTTATAGGTTTGGATTCACCGTGAGGCATTTCAGCCCTTGAGGTAGGCAAAGAAAACATGCGGCAGCTTGCAATATACTCGAACATTTCATTGAGGCTATCCATCTCTGATTCCCATTTCTTCGTGTCGAGGCCAAGAAAATTCAAGATTTCGACTGGATTGGAGGATAGAAGGACGAGAGATCTCTTCTTGTGCAGCGCTTCAATGGCAGCAATGCGAATATATAGACCTCGATTGTCAATTCTCAGGCCGTAGGGATTAATGATGGTGCCTAGGATACTCCACATGTCGCCATGCGACTCGCAAAAGTGCGAGAAAATGAGGGCCTGGTGAGATGCACATGTCTGAATGTCGATTTGCACAAAGCTGGCGGCAGGAAGATGCGTGAGATCGGCGTGGTCGACTTGGCGTAAGGGGACGGCAAAGAGGAGGACCGGGTCTCCCTTTCGAACGATGTGTGCCTCGGCCGCGAGGATGCGCGCGAGCGTAAGGGCGACGCTTTCGCGCGACGTTATCGTCTCGTCGAGGTCAGATAATATCGGCTCACAGACCAAGAGGTCAATGTCGCCAAATGTCTCTTTGCCGGGCGCGTCGATTGGCGCGGCAACATGGCGGTAGAAGCGTCCGAGGAGCTCCTTTGACTGCTTGAGCACGTGCTGATACACGGCTCGGGGCAAGCGTGGCGTGAAGTAGGGTGGACAATGATGGGCAAAAGCGGAGCCGCCCATGCTCACGATGAAGGTGATGGGCCGGTGGAGGAGTCGACTGCAGTAATGCGCAGATCAACTGAGATAACGTCGACAGTGACAGTGTCGGTCTCAAAAGGCAAGAAGAAATTCCGGTCGTTGATTTTTTGGGGATCGCTCGTCGATTATCTAGGACTGATGCAATGTGAACGGAAAAGTCGTCCGATCTTGCAGAGATTGAAGTTATTGCTGCTAAAGCACGATGTATAAAATAAACTCACAGCAACAAAGATCATTGGGCCACGCGAGATGTGAGTGGGACCGCGGCAGATTCTCCCTGCACCATCGCGAGGTCTGCTTCTATGAGTCATGATTTACAGTAAGTAACTTCTGCGTCAAGAATCACTCCGTTTCAATCCATAACGAATGGGGTCAGGACAAAGCTTTTACGGTACCAAGCTGGCGTACAGTGAGATCTTCTCACATGAACTCACTCTTTCTCCCGCCATCAGAGCTCCTGGCAGCCCGCCTGAACCAATGACGCATTGGACATCTCACCTACGCTGGCTATGATTGCCGGCGGTGCTGCCACTTCGTAAAATACAACATTCATTTCGTGCTGGAAACGTTTGTGGACTGAAAAGCTCTACCTACACCGCTGTCTTACCAAAAAAGTACAATGATTGATCGCCAATCCACCTGCTCTTTTACTCCTTTGACGCAGTGTGACACGCCCTACCTCGATCATACGGTTTGGGCTGCATAGTAGCACCCTAGAACTACCAACAAACAAAGAATATCCCTAACTTGATGGAATCAAAACTGATCGTGGAGTACATTCATCAGCAATGAGCGCCGCCTAATAATTCAAAGAGGACAATGACTTCTCAATATTTCATCAAGTCGCTCAGGAACGATCCGTTTTGATCGAATTATTTTTTTATGTATACAGATATCAAGTTCCGACACAAGGCTAATATCGTGTGCTCATGTTACATGCCTCCTTTGACTACAGAGACACTTATTGTTTAATTTCATTATCAAATACTTTAAAGTAGTATTTACTTTCACAGAACAGTCTCCTCCTCGCGAGTACCCACAAAACAAAAAGTTCAAAAACCTGTGGTTCTTCTAGCACCCGATCGCCGCAATCACATTAATCCGGTCTTACTGGATTCGTGCGGGCTGTCTCTTGGTCTCGGATGGGATGAGTTTTCGTGTTAACCAGAAACTACTAGTAGGACAACCTAGATGATATACCACCGCACCATCAAGCCATAGCAGCATGTATAATATCGCATGCGCTGGCCGTAACGAAACCCTTTACATTTATTAGGTGTGTGTGGGTTTATTGCGCTACCTGAGTCGGTGAATATTGTTAGACACTGAAGGTCAAATTAAAAACGTCAAGTAAAAGTAAATTGATATCTCTGCTCCTCTCCTCCTCTCTGGCCTTGTTGCTATAAACCCATCTAAAAATTTCTCCGGAAGAGAACATTTTCTCGTTTCCCAAAACTACGAATGAACTAAATTACATTTTTTGGAGATCAAAAGATCTCAAATTGGAGCTTTGATCATCCTGGTCATTCTGATCCTCCTGAAAACCTTAATCACCATATCCTTGGTGAGATATCAAAGCCCGAAAGAATTAATCCGAAGAGTTTTTTGAACCATATTGTATTTAGCTATCTAGTTATGATAATTAAATTAAATTTTTTTACGATGAAAAATAACACAACTGAGCGCCCTTAATTTCCTCTCAATAGGCCTCCATACCCAATATTTATGTGCCTATTTATCTCCTTTATATGCTAACATACACTTGGAACTTTTCAAAATTTCTAGTAGGGCTCCCTTCCTCTATTTTGGCCTCAATGAAATTTGTAATGAAAGTGGTTTAATGTCAGCAAATGCTCATTCCCTTTGCTTACAAAATCTGGTTCAATGAAGTAAATGTTTTGTGATCTGCTTTTTAGCCCTACAAAAGTTGCAACTTTTGCCTTTAACTTTTCCAATTAGATCCATGATAGCCCTGGTCTTTCTAATCCCAGTTCTTGCCTGGAAAAATGCCGATTCAGCCATCCTGCTTTGGTCTTGAAAGTGAAATGGTAGTAAATAAAAAGTGGGTACATGCCTTTGGGCTTGAATTCTGTAGAACTTGCCAAGTACCCTACACCTTCTACTCTCCTCTTCTCGGAGAACTTCTGTTTGCCACTCATTATACCAGGCATTTAAAATTAATTCCTTTGCTTTCATTTTCTTACTAGAATGGGATGTAAACTTGTCACTTGAAGCTGTCTATTTTATTGCTCCTCTTTCACGCAGGTCAGCAAGCTCATTACCCTTAATACCCACATGGGATGGACATCAAGTAACGCTCAGATTGCAGTCTTTGGCTAGATCTCGAATTTGGTGAGAGGAATAATTCGTCTTTCCCTGTATTCCCTGAAGACTTGCTTGGCTGTCACTGAAAATTTGGTGTCTTTCATTTGGCAGTTTTTTCTTAAGGCACTGAACAGCTTTGTAAATGCAGTAGGCTTCAGTGTCAGTGATTCCAATGGAGCTTGCAAGATTGAAGGAGTAGCTACTTAACTCTCGAGAGAAAGGCATTTAGTTTGCAAAGCCTATGCTGCTCACATTACTCTTGGAGAGAGATCCATCAGTGTAAGAAATGGCTATATCTGGATCTATTGTCTGCATGAATTTCAAATGTTGCTCGTGAGCTGAAGTCTTTTTCAGGAATGTGATGTTAATGACTAAGGGTGGTAAGTCCCATAGTGCCATCTAGGCTGAATTAAAACAATCTTGCTTTTGAAACTTGGTGAATTATTTGAGAATTCTCAGAGGGTGTTTTCTTTCAATACCCAATGATTCTCATGACTAGTATAAGAGGGTTCCAAGTTACCAGATGCTTGACATCTAGCACATTAGGATTCTCCCTGGGCCAGGCTATACCTACAACAGTGCTTCTATCCTCTTATGTTCCCTGAAAGATCATCGATATATTGCCCATTGTTGAATTATAAGATTGTTGGTCAAACATAATGTGACGGCTTGTGAGCCGATAAGCCCTGTAGCCTTCGATGGCTATCGAAGGCAACCTATATTATCTATCACTCCGAGGATTATCAGCAGGCGAAAACTGATATGAGATCGCCACTGAGGCTACGTAAAGGATAGTGCCAAGAGTATCGGAAGCGTTACCCGTGTGGCAGAACAAACCTTACGTCAGTTTCATTGCCACTGTAAACGTAGGCTAGATTTAGATACCTCTGGATGTGTATAAGTAGTAGAGGAGACTTGTAGGTAGTTTGCTTCTACATAGATGAATTATAGCTTTACCTTTCAATCATACAAATGCCCATTCGCTTTCTATATTCAAACTGTGACACATAATCATTCCTGTGCCTGAACATAATGGAGTTATGGTTGTATTTATTACTTACTTGGGAGTATAGAGGGTAAGGCGTTTGGAGATCTTAGATACCCTGTATTAGTAGTTCCGTATTAGCGCATAGACGAGGCTGGCAGACACATATTAATAGGAGTATGGGCGCAGCATTGAAGGATGCTGCGATCGCGAGAATCATACACGATAGATTAACTCAATAATTTATCAATTCTACTTCCAGTACTTACGTACCACTCGTATACAAGAATCTCATTCTAATACCCATGATGAATAGCCGTGCAGCTCAGCATTTACCCGTGGAATTCGGCCACCTTTTCCACAGAACCTTTTACCCAAAAAAATAAAATGGCACCAATGGAAACTGCGTGCGCGGGAAAAAGTCTCAAAAAACCTGCAGCCCCAGCCAGGCGAGGCCGAGACAATGGGACCACATGAGGTGCGCATATTTAATTATATCTCTCTTCTTTGTAACAGTCGAGACCGACTTGATCCAATCCGCCATCTTCGTATTGGGTCCTGGGTACGCTCCGGAAACTCATGGGATGGCTTTTTCACCATGATCAACGGTTGGTGATGAGCAGGGCTCCGACCCTACCATCTGATCTGATCGTGGCTAGCTTCATGATAATGGTGATAGGGGAATGTGTTGAGAGATGAAGACGATATCGACCGCGAAAGCGATTGGGAATCCTCGTCGAAGTGAGGACTTTGTTACTCAATCTGGGCTCTGCAGACTCTACAGTGAGAGCTGGAGGTTCGTAGAGGACACCACGACACGACTGATAGTTGTTGAGAAAAGTCCCTATAAGCCGTAGGAGAAGAAGCCAAGCCGGTTGTTTTTCTTAAGATCCAAAATGCCAGGCATAAGGCTTTTGTCCAAACGATCTAATACGGATAAGTTATCTTGAAATTATGAGAACACCTACTTGGCCAACCCTTACAGTGTAGGGAACGCTATTTCTACGTCCAGAACCCTACTCTTCATCCGAACGCCCTGATTTCATCCACCAAGTGATGAATTCCCACGTGTGGCGGAACTTGTTTTGTTATGCCATCATGGATTTATTAATCGAATATGAGGAGAAAATAGCGAAGACTGTGCCACATTTATACATGTATATTCGCTAGATTTGCCGCCCAAGTTGATGGAACATTCAACCCGCAACACTACAAACACACTTTGATTTGCGCCAACTTTTTCCGTAATGTCCTAATTATTTTTCAACACCAGAGTCGATAAAAGCTAAAGTAGTGCGTGCTTTTCTTAAATCGTTGGCAGCAATATCCGATTTTTTTTTCTTGGCACACACAAACGATCCAATGTCAATCACACTTCGAAAACATGAGTCCCAGTATAGCTACCGGATATCTCTTCCCTCTCTTATTACGCACCCTAGTCGCGCGTCCTACCTCACTTTGTATAGCCACCTTAGAGTAACGGTCTCCCAAAAATCAAGACCCAAACCTTATATCATACGACTTACTTTCTTCCTTGAGGGTATACATAGCGTTGTAATTTTGTAATAGGATATGGTCTACAATAGGTGAGACAAGCTCCCGTATGAAATTGGAATACCAATTTATTCTGTCGGTGAGACAAGTTGGTCTGCGGTAGGTTTGATTTGGAGTA